AAAAAAAAAAAAGATCACCGACTAATTGAATGAGAGAGAGCCCAGAGCAAGCCAGAAACGAGACCCTTGAACAGCTGCAGTCAGCATTTCCAGAGTGCCTGCTATTTCTGCAAAGGACCTAGAGTTGCTCCCATTTCCTCCAGTGCTCTAAGTAATGACAGGGCCTCTGCCGTAACCACTTCTTCTCCAGTCAAGGAGGAAACACACTGGCCCAGCTTAGGGGGTCCCACCAGGCCACCACCCCAGACAGGGTCAAAGTTAGGGGCCACCTCCAATAATGAAGACCCAGACCATGAAACGGAGCTGCTTAAGGGGGACATTCTAACTCCTCTGAATGCCACAAAGTCCTTCAGTGTTTGGATTGTCTGCACCACACCTTCCAGATGTGACAGCGGGGTGCCCATCTTTCACAGACACTAAAACCATCCTCTTTCTTCCTCCCAGAAAAGTGTTGGGGGGGGGCGGGGAACAGACCAGCAGCTCAAAGAGACACATTAACATATTTTATTCAATTCGCCATACAAAGAATATGCCACAGGAAAAAAAAAAACATCAGAACTGGAAGGGCCCTTGGAGTCCATCTGATCTGAGCCCCCCTGGTTTTACAAATGAGGAAAGTGAACGCATAACACCTGGACGGCGCTGGTACACCAGCCCAGTCCTGATACACAGAAACACACACAAGTTCAGCCTTCTGGCTTTGAGCCAGCTAGAACCCCAAGACTTGATCCATGTTTATCTTTAATGTTTCTGTGTCCTATAGTACCACATCCTGATACTTATCTCCTTCTTGAGGCTGCAGGAAGAGCCTTAAAATTTGGTGAGGGTCAGGGTCATTCAGAGCCAGGAAAACCGACCAATTGTGGAGCAGAGGGTGCAGAGGGTTTAGGGGAAGAATTTAATCCCTTCCCCAAAGAGTTCGGATCACCCTTTCTCCCAAACGGCATACACTAAGACTCCAACGCCTCAGGGCAAATTTGCTTGCCTTTCTGAGGTTCAAATCATGTTTCCAGGAAGAAGGGAAAGAAGCAGGTAGAAGAAAAAGAGGAAAAGATTTAATTCTGAAATTAACAAGTCCAGCGGGAACACATTTTTTCCCCAGCGTGGAACAAATCCAAACACCGCAAGAGAAGGCTGTAAAACTCTGGTATTAAATCAATTGTGAGATGTAAAGGAAAAACACCAATAACTTAGCAAAATAAATACAACAAGAGTTTCGCTGAGATTGATGTAACCCAGTGAAAACAGTTTTTAGGCTCCTGAGTCAAGAAGACTGAGGTCTACCTGGCACTGCGTCTTAGGGGAAAACCCTAAGACATGCTGGGAACCTTCCCAGCAGACAGAAGTCACTTGCAACTATCTGTGGCCCTACAGAATCTTTACACTAAAAGTTATTCCCGGAATGTACATTTTCTTCTCCCAGGAAGACAAGGCTGGCCAAAGCTGAGGCTCACTGACTCTGCCCAGGCCTTGACAGGTCACCTGTGTCTATCTGTAGGAGGCCCGGGTCAGCAGTGGAACAAGTAGAAAAACAAACAATGTGTTGCTAAGAATGGATCTGTGTTTGCAGAGGGAACTTCATTCCCCCAGGACACCCTCCAATCGCTGTGGACATCTGTGCCTCCAGCTTGTAGGGCTGAGGCAAATCTTGTCACCTCCCCTGACTCTGGGGCAGCTGAACTCCAGTCTACAAGAGAAGGGAGGTTCTGCTACAGAGAAATAATACTACAGGGATAAGGATACTGCCCTGGCCCTTGCCGGCAGGAGAGCATCCTCCAAAGGGCTGCAGTGTCCCCAGGAGGTGCTCGTCCTCTGTCCACCCAGCATCCAGGGGTCAGGGGTTTAGAAACAGTGGGACACATGAACCCCAAGCCTCGAGTGCAGCCAGGGATCAGTCAGGAAGTCAAAGTTGGGGCTAACGGCCTACAGGGGTGGTGGGCTTCTCCGCAGGCAAGAGGCAGCAGCAACAGCGGCATCTGGCTCCATCCGCTCATGTTTCCACCACTCGGATAAGAGGCATGGGCTTATTAGGGCTGGGGGGCTTGGATATCCTCATGCTGAAAGAAAGTGGGAAACGCTGAGTGCTTCATGTTGCCTGCCCTGTACACAGCCACCCCCCACATTCGCCTCTAGGGTTCCACACTCCAGTGTTGGCTGATCTCTTGGTTCTAATGCCTTGAACCACTGACCGTCAGCACCGTCTAAGAAAAGATGAGGAGAGCGGAAGTACTGCTTGGGGGCGGGGCGATAAGAAAACAAGGAGCAGTTACACAGCTGAGAGGTGGGGACAGCTGTGGTTCTGGTTTTTTTCAAAGTGTGTGATCTTTTTGTGAATCTCTTGGAAACAGAAGTCCCTCTCCCTAGAAGTAATGTACTCATTATACACTCATGACTTTTACAAACAATTTCAGGGGGTCCATTCACATCTAGAGGCTGTTAATGGGCCTCCTTGGGGTTGTGCTATCAGGCTCTCCGCTGATCTGGGTGGAGAATGGCTCTGGTGGAGAACAGGTGAAATTAGAGACCAAGAGCCTAAGATGGATTCACAAAAGCCTCTCCCTGGCCTCAGCACTGTCCTCACTTGCCTCACTTCCTCCCTGGGCCCCACTCACCTGCCCAGGCTCTCCGTCTTGGCCCAGGTCTGGGTGCTGAAGTTACCATGACTGACCTGTTTTTCAATCAGGTGTTCCATCCGGTCATGCATCTCTAAATTCTGTAATACGAGTTGTGCAGTCAGCGTTGGCCATTTTCTGGCTTGTCACGTGTGACATTTAACTAGATCATTATGCTCTCCCCACCTGTTTGTGCTACTGTCACAGCCACCCTGACCCTGCGTGCCACCACCGGCGTGCCCTCTCCCCCCTTACCCCCCATTTTCACCACTCCGGATCACCCTCATCCTGCTGTTCTTGATCCTACCTCCCTCCTTCAAGAACTGTGTGCAACACTGATCGTCCCCTGCTGTCCTTCCTATACATTTCCTGTATATCATTTCTTGTAGCCACTTGAGATATTTACTTGCCTTTTGTTGACATGCATTTATATAAGATATTCTTGGGTCTTTGTTTTTTCACTATTGAAGTATAGTTGACACACAAGGCTACCTTAGTTTTAGGTGTAAAACACAGTGACTCCACAACTCTACCCGCTACATTATACTCATCATACAATGTTATTACAGTAACACTGACTATACTCCTTATAAGGTCTTTTTTTTTTTTTTTTAAACATATTTTATCTCTAAATTTAGAGTGCGAATTCTGGAGATAAACAACCCAGGCTCCCAGTTTTTTTTATATCTCCACTGCAAAGGACCTTCACACAGTGCCTGAAAAGCAATCTTCAGGTAGTCTGCAGGCAGGAAGGGTTCTGAGGAAAGGCAGAAATTAGACTAAGAACTTATGAGCGGATCAAGACCATCACCTTAGGCATGGAGAAGACCCCTCCTACGGAAAGCCCCCTGCTTCACAGCCCAGCTCTGTCAGCTCCTTTGCTCAGCTCATGGCGCAGGGCTCACACCATGATGACTCGCCCCTCTGGAGTAGGGACAGGTCTTACCGGTGTGACTCCCTGAAGGTTCTCAGAAAACACTCGACTTGGCTGAACTGAACATCAACGGCCATCCCAGATACTCACTTCCGAGCAGGCAGCCAGACAGGATGAAGACCCCTCCAGAATCTCTCCCTCCCTAGGTATAGTCCTGTCTTCAAGAGCCTGCTCCCTTCCCAGGGCTGCTCAGGGCACACACCTCTGCTTCCAGGTAGGCGATTTTCTCCTTGAGCTCCTGGATGGTGCTGTCCTTTGACTGGACCACAGCTTTTGAATTCTGGAGCTGCAAAGATGTGGGGGACCATGGGGCTCATTTTGAAATGACTCAGTACAGGGGTGCCTGGGTGGCTCAGTCGGTTAAGCGGCCGACTTCGGCTCAGGTCATGATCTCGCGGTCCATGAGTTCGAGTCCCGCGTCGGGCTCTGTGCTGACAGCTCAGAGCCTGGAGCCTGTTTCGGATTCTGTGTCTCCCTCTCTCTGACCCTCCCCCATTCATGCTCTGTCTCTGTCTCAAAAAAAAATAAACGTTAAAAAAAAAAAAAATTTGAAATGACTCAGTACACACTCATCAAACTTCTCCCTGCTACTGGGGAGCCAGCAGAGACATAAGGCAGTCTTTTGCACCTCTCCCATGACTTGCTTAGCTTGCTTGCTTTCTTTCTTTCTTTCTTTCTTCCTTCCTTTCTTCCTTTCTCTCTCTCTCTCTTTTTTTCTTTCTTAATGTTTATTTTATTTTTGAGAGAGAGAGAGAGCACAAGCTGGGGAGGGGCAGAGGGAGAGGGGAACAGAGAATCTGAAGCAGGCTTGGCACTGACAGCAGACAGCCAAT